ATAATTTAAGAACTCAAGCAATCCATATATAGCAAAAATTACATTTCATGAACAGAATTGTGGAATTGAGAGCAATTTCAAAATTGTCTTACTTTTTTTGATACACCCTGTATAATATAATATAATATGATTTTGTACAGTATTCAGTGTTAGGCTAGCTACCATGGCAACTGGTTGCCACGCCAATAAACCTGCATGTATTTGAATAATGCAAATCAATAAAAACTTGCATAGCATGACCTGTTGCTATGTCAGCTTCACCACTGACAGTGTTTTAAATAGTACATACAAAAGCAAGAAGTTATAAGCATTGAATGTATTCATATGCATTTAGCTGACCTTTCCACTTTTCCTGTTTACATGATGGAAGGTGGGATGATTTTTGATGTATTGGGATAAGTCACTAGGCTAACAAAAGTTCAAATGCTTGTTAACAGAACTCAAATATTGTAGAGAAGATCCTGTAGTTCAAGGTTATAATTGCTGCTTGAACAACCTTTTGTTTACAGTTAACTATAATCTACTGTATCTCTAGAAGAATGTTTTTTGCTGAATTGTGCACTGTGACTCATTTCAATACATCAAAATCATCCTGCCTCATATCTCGTCAGGGTGAAGCGGGATTGTATAAACAACCCCTTATTCAGCAAATTGCGCATGGTGCCATCCCTTGGTGGTGAGGCAGCATTTTCCTTGCGATAGTAACTTCTAGTAAAATAATAATAATTGCTATGCAGTCTCATCCAGTAGACAGTGATGATGAAAGTAAAAAAGATTGTTATGATGATGATGACAGTGCAGATGAGAGTGGTGATGACGTTCATTGAAAGTCAGATGCTGACGATGGTGACAGTGATCGTTCACATTATGTATTCGCAGATTTTGATCGGCTTGACATTAGTTGTAATAAAGACTCTCTTGATCATGAACAGGGTGCTATTGACACAACACAGATTGGTCCAATTGATATGGAAATTAGTAGTTCAATTGATGATTTAGGTTCCATTGAATGTAATGTACCTGTGCTCCAAGCTGAGTTTGTGGAGGGAAACAGTCCTTCAATCAGACTTCTTCCTTCTGGTTATGAGAATGAAAAAGGAGGAACTTTCTGAGGGAGGAACTTTCTTTAGTGAATGAAACAAAGTTCATTTGTAGCATGTCAAGCATTCGGGAATTGTTCTCTTTTTGTATGGATGTTGATTGTCAAATGCCATTGGTCAAGGTAAAGGAAACCTTTGTTGGTCCATCAATACCAATGGAAGTATCTTGCACCCCTTATACACACCTGGTGGAAGGATATGCAAGAACAGATGTTTTCCACTCTTGGGGACCGGAAAACATTCCGTACATATCTCGCATGGGAAAGTAACAGCGACGTGACAGGGGGCTGGAGACTTCAAAAATAAAAGCAAAGGCATGCAGAATGCAAAATAGTGATAAAGCCAACAATAAAAAAAATTTTAGAACCACTGAGTATTTTAATAAAATACAAAACAAGAGAAACTCCAAAAATCGATAACATTTTTATTTATCTACGTTTCGACTAAACAACAATCAACATTTATGTCTTTGCCTTCCTGCTTTTCACGAGTGGTTGCATTTAATGAGCTCAGTTTACTGGCAAAACAAAACACTCGACTTGGGATAATTTGGCTGTGAAATTGATTCACAGCCGCTTTATTTAAAATCTTGTCATTTAATTAGAAATATCATAAATTCATTAAAATTGATCATTTGAGTTAATAACTAGAGTCTGTTAATGTTCATTGCCAGTAAAGGTGGCAGGACTACACGCCAATTAGGCAAAAAAGGTATAATAATGATATGTTCAAGAAAAGACAACAAACTAAAATACAAAGCGGCAGGCCAGCGGGAGGAGGTGGGAAGAAAATTTGTATGTCTTCACTCGATCACTTGAAAGGTTGAATTAAGAAGTGAATAACTTTGCTTTGCTTTTAGTAGCTAAAATTTGGCCTTGACTTTATGTTTCTTACGTAGGTAAAAGCACCGGAATTTCCTTCTCTGCCAAGTCCCACCTTAATTTGTCACAATCCAATCTAACTATTTCCTACCTTTATCTTTTCACTATAATTCAGGCTTGACATAAAAAAACATATTTCCGTAGGAAATATTTTTATTTATGTCTTTGCCTTCCTGCTTTTCACAAGGTGTTGCATTTAACGAGCTCAGTTTACTGGCAAAACAAAACACTTGACTTGGGATAATTTGGCTGTGAAATTGATTCACAGCCGCTTTATTTAAAATCTCATCATTTAATTAGAAATATCATAAAATCATTAAAATTGATAATTTGAGTTAATAACTTGAGTCTGTTAATTGTCATTGCCAGTAAAGGTGGCAGGACTACACGCCAAAGACTACGCCATTGAAGTCAGTCGAACGTAAATTGAGGAGTCTCCCCACCCGAGGAAAACGCATCACCACTAGCAAAGAGCATTTAATTATCATAATGTTTTATAGCAAGTCAAAGTACACCGCAGTAACCCCTGTTAACTGTAGTGTAGGCCGATCGAAAGCAGTCGCCTCTGCGAAACCACTATGAGTAGTAGCATGTTGTAAATAGAGCCCTTCAATACTAAACATCTAACAGTCGCCCCTGCTGACTGTTGTTAACACAACCACTAAACATTTAACAGTCGCCCCTGCTAACTGTTGTTAACACATAGAAAGGAATAAAATAGTCGGAAATAACAGTTTAAGTGAATAATTACTAATGAACATTAATATATCTGATACACACCAGATAATGAAGCAGTCATGAAACATGCCCTTCCTAGGGTGACGTCGCTGCCTAGGCCAACTAGGGACTGAGTTTTGCGCAAAGTAACTTTTTTGCGCCTCAAAAATTCATTGATAAACTCCACGCATTTTTGCAGCTTATCGCGAGGTAAATGTGCTTAATGGTATCAAGCTCAATTCCGGAGAAAGAGAGGGTTGTCGAAGGCCCAAAAGGTTTTCTCTTGGGCCAGCGGCAGACCAATAAATGCACAAAATGCTAGAAAGCGATGTAACTGAGTCTGACAGGAGTCATAAGAGGGCGAAATAAGCAAAAAATCATCAAGTAAATGTAAAATATAGTCGATATCGAATTTGTGTTGAGAAATCCATTGAAGCGCAGTACTAAAATTGGTATAATGCGAAATCGAATTGGTATAATGCGAAAAGCGTTCTTCATGTCGGTTTTTGCAAGAAAACATCCAGGTCCCGCGAGTTTAATTAAACGAATAGCATTCGCAACTGTGGCATAGGGCACGCTAGTGTTTTCGGTAGCTATGCCAACGTTGACAGAAGAACTGCGCGGGAAGGACAAATGGTGAATCAAACGAAATTTGCCTATTGTCTTTTTTGGGATTAGACTTAACGGAGAAACCCTAAATGGTGAAGCAGTAAAAGCCTGAGAGCTGACAGTTCTTTAGCAAGTTTTTTATCAACCACGGTTGGATTAGCTAAAGCCGAAGGCAGATTTTTGCCTTCTTGGGTATTAACAACACCAGAAAAATGTAACGCAAAACCATGAGTAAAACCAGAAACGAGCTTAGAAATTATGTCTGCAAAATAGAACCGCCAATTTTGACCCCCATCTGCCAAGTCCTGTACTATATCCCCGTATTTCATGAGTGCGGGGGACTCATGAGGATACTTTTGAGCATAAACCCCTACAAAAATGCAAAACGCACTCATCCAAACAGAAATATGTGTTATTTTCTTGGCTTTACTTATCGGCTCTACTGAAAGAGATGGTGGTAAACCGGCATAAGAAGAGCTAAAGCTCAATTGGAATTTGTTATCTGACATTGGATTGCTCAACAAACACCCGAAATCGATGTATTCATTGTTCCAAATTTTATTTTTAAGTTTAATGGAAATCCGACAGTCTATAGGTAAACTAATAGAGTGATATTCCTGCGTTGGTTGAACATGGCTAGAATTAGGCGCCAAAAACGTCTCACCTGAAATTGTGGTGTGGGCCGAACCAAGAGCGTTGGAAACAGCAAGTTGCGCCACAGTCGTCGGAGAAGTCGCAACATGCTCTGAGATGCGGACAATAGGCGATTCTGTAACTGAGGCAGCAGGTCCAGAAGGAGAACTCGATGGGACTGTGTGGACACCAGGCACTGGAGTTGCTACAGTTTGCAGGCGTCGAGTCACTTCTGCGGTTACGGAGCTGACGATATCTTGGAGCTGTTGGGGCGTAATAGCCGAGGCTGGAGCAAGAGGAGCAGCTGTTGCTGGTCGAGGAGAACTGGACGAAGGAACCGTCATGGTTGTTCCTGAAGCGTGGGGCGCTCAAGCGCGATGGGAACAGCGTGCTGGTGGTACGGCTACCGATACTGGTCGTTGAGCATGTTGATTTCAAGTGGCGGGCATGGTAAAATTCCTGAAAAACACACTCAGAAACGTAGTGGGAGAATACTAAAAGCTTATGAAGTATAAAATCTAACAAGATAAAATAAAACTACAATATAGGCTGGGTCGAGCATGGCACACAACAAAGTGGCCGCACCACTCGCCCAATAAAACGCCACTAAGAAATAATGAGGATGTAGTGTCAGATTAACACGTGTGAGGACGTAGCCATCACAAATAAACGAGAATAAAATCTCACAAGGATTATAAAGTATGGAGTACTTCTCCAAATAAAACATATTCTGTGTGGACGTAGCCAACACCAGAATCAAAGTGTGAGGGCGTAGTCTCGTGCAAGAAGAAATCTAAATAAAATTAAACAGTATCTGATGACATAAAAGACATACAACCGAAGATAACAGACTAACAACTAGGAAGGCTTGCTCAAGCCTTAAGAATAGCACCGCGATAACTGCGATACAGCATGTACAGCGTGTATTGCGCTGTACAATTGAAATGAACACCGTCTGGTAGAAACAGAGTTTTTACGCACTGTAAGAATCCCTTATGACTCCAGCAAAAAACGTTGGGAACACCGTCCAATAAACGCCTGCCTGTTGAACTCCGGGGAAGCTGCCCGATGTGTAATGAGGCAAACCCCAACTATCTGAACATAAGGGAGCTGAAGTAAAAGATGAACAAGGTCATCGATTTTGGAACCCACTACTTCGGGTTTGCAATGGCTAAGGTCGTTAGTACCCACTTCCAAAATTACAATGGCAGGCCGAAATGAACAAACTTTATCTAAATCGAACGCGATCAGCTTGTCTACTGTGCGTCCCCCAATTCCATGCAATTTGACGGAGGCCCTTTGTACATTAAAACTAATGGCCGCACAGACGTCGAAATTTGAGCGCAAATCGCGATGGAGACGTTTGACAAATGAGTGTCCAAAAACAAGAACTTTTGGGCGTGACAATTCCATAATACCCAAATTAAAAGTATCAAAATAGAAGAATAATATAAGAATAATAATTGAAAATCTCACCTGTATAAAGGTAAAAGAAGGAAGTCCAAAACGTCAAAGAAAATTTGTATGTCTTTCACGAGAAAGGTTGAATTGAGAAGTGAATAACTTCGCTTTGCTTTTAGTAGCTAAAATTTGGCCTTGAATTTATGTTTCTTACGTAGGTAAAAGCACTGGAATTTCCTTCTCCGCCAAGTCCCAGCTTAATCTGCCACAATCCAATCTAACTATTTCCTACCTTTATCTTTTCACTATAATTCAGGCTTGACATAAAAAAACATATTTCCATAGGAAATATTTTTATTTAATTTGTATGTTCATATTACAGGTAATAATATGTATTTATTTGTCACTACAAGGAATAAAACAAACGTTTGTATGATTGTATTTAGTTTATAGTCTATTTCACACAGCCTTCGTAAAAAAATTCAACCCCCCTGTCACGTCCCTGTTACTTTGCCACACAAGATTTGTACAGAATGTTGTGAAAGACTCGTAAGCAACATCTTACAGGGTGATAAAATGCTGCATTTCGCATATTTCATTTTTATTTTTATTTTAATACCCTTAACAAAGGGTTAAATTTGTCATTATTTCTTCTTAAATGGCTTGGATGGACGAATAACGAGGCCACATTGTGGACAACCGAACGACATGGCAAAATGGCACCAATTTGGACAAAGTTGAGGTTTTACCTTGTCGATGGTTAAACAGCTAGGATTTGCTTGAAACCCAGTTAAAACTTGTTTAAAATGTGCTTGATACTGTTATGTTTGAGCTGAACTGAATATTTGGAAGGATATCAACGAGATCTGCGATAAACAGCGGAGTTAAGTGGAGAATTTGGCCAAATACGTCCATTTGCAGGAGGTAGGTACATTTCAAATTATTATTTCAGTCACAAAATATTAACCATTTTAAACCAAAACAGTGATAATATAATTAAATAAGTACCAATTATGTTTCTATCAGAAAGATTTAGGAAAAAAGGTACGCATTTCACACTTACCAATGACCACCCCTAAAAGCACCATCTCTGAACCATATAAGCACCTCAGAATAGCCAAACCTTGTATGGTTTGGTAGATAACACTATGACAAAAGCGTCGTTTTTGGGTGTGGTCGGTTTCGGACATTTCGAAGTGCCGAAGGCATGGCTTGCTCCTATAAGGAACCACTTTTGGCATTGTGTCAAAAACTGTGGTGGTAATCTGATGAAACGTAAGGTGAGAATAAACTATTTAATAGATAATTACTGAGGCCAACGGCATTATTCGATATATTGCAGCCAGCTGAGGCCGAAGGCCGAAGCTGGCTGCAATATATCGAATAATGCCGTTTGGCCGAAGTAGTTATCTATTATAATTACTGACGTTAGTCAAACCTATTGTTCCTTCTCTTTAGATAGTGGCATAAATTATTTCCTCTCAATTGGCTTTTGTTCTGGCTTTATAGCCCTTATTTGCAGTTTGGAGCTTATGTGCATACTTAGATGGCTCAGTTCATTAGATTTAATTTCTTTGTGTAGCCTTTTGTTTGATCTTACATGCTAGGTTGCATCGCAATTTAGGCTTAGTTGTCTATTTTTCAAAGCTTTTTACTTGATGACATATTTGAAAAGAAATTTGCATATTTTAATACAGGCGACACAGCTACTTTTTTTCTCATGCGGGTGATTTAGGATAGCTAGTCGAACTGTTTAGAACAAACATGGATGATTCTTCAGATGATGAAAGTTTTTACATTACACAATCTTCGACTGGAAGGAGAAGCGCAACGACAGATATCGACGATCATTTGTTTGATACGACAACCCTGTTCGACGATGGACAATTGCAAAATGCAGTCACCGGTAAAAATACCGAAAAGACAGTGGCCGTGACGAGCTTTGATTTGTTTGAAGGTAGGTTACTGAATTTTACAAAGTATTTAGTTTTCCTGTTCAGTTCTAGCATACTAATCGAAGGTGATCGTTTTCGTCTAGATGGAGAGATTGATGGTGAATTGTTTGAAGCGGCAAGTCTTTTCGACAGTGAAAAAGCACGACATACAGAGAAGAATAAAGAAATTCAAAATGCAGGGGCCGCTAAGAGATTTGAATCACTTCAAGGTAGGTTGGTGGGTTTTACTGTATTATTCATTTTACTGTTCTGTTCTAAGGTAACAAAAGTTCTTTATATTTTCGTGTAGGAAAAAGATTTCGAAAACCAATAACTTCTTCAAAGTGCGAAAGGTTCGGGCAAAGTTGGACATCTGAGGCTAGTCGAAAGAAGTGGTGTTGGGTATTGAGAACCTTCGAAGAATGGGGAGCCGCAAGAAATCATGCCGTGTCTTCTAACAATGAAAGCTATGACGACGAACCACTGGTCAACGCAAGTTTAGAGGAAATGTCTGACGAACAGTTGGACTTTTTCCTTGCATGTTTCGTCGCAGAAGTGAGAAAGACAGATGGCGCTGAATACCCTGGGAGAACTATATATGAAATGATAAGTAGTATTCAGGCTTATTTACGTGTTGAGTGTAAGCGTAATGTAAATTTAATTGACAAAACAGCTCGTGTATTTAGAAATTTAAACTCGGCGTTAAATTTTGTAATGAAAGAAAGAGCCGGGCAGGGTATTGGGGTGGAGACATCGCAAGCTAAATTTATTACGGAAGAACAAGAAAATTATTTGTGGGAACATGGCTTTTTAGGTTGCACGAACGCAGCGTTGCTTAGAGATACTGTAGTTTTTGTGTTCGGCTTACAATTTGCTTTAAGAGCTGGGCAAGAGCACAGAAACTTGAGGCGTGAAAACTCGCAACTTTCCCTACAAGTTGACGAATTCGGTGATGAATTCTTGCAATATAACGAGGATATCAGCAAAACTAACAACGGTGGATTGGCCCATTTGCGTACTAAACGCAAAGTTGTTCGGGCATATAGGAATTTAAAAAATCCAGAGCGTTGTCCGGTTGAGCTCTACAAGAAATATTTATCTCACGTTCCCACAACTACGAGCGATAACGCGTTTTATTTGTGAGCTTTGCCAAAACGGGCAGATTTGGTATTATAAAAAAGCTGCGGGTAGAGAAACGTTAGGAAATGTCGTGAAGAATATTATGAAAAATGCTGGGTTTGAGGGGTATTTTACAAATCATTCTCTGCATCGTAGTTGTGCTACAAGACTGTACGATGCCGGATTCCCCGAACAAGTAATTCAGGAGACTACAGGCCATCGGTCGTCTGATGGGATTAAAGCTTATAAATGTACCTCGTCTTCGCTTAAGCGAAAAGCTAGTGAACTATTGCAAGGTGATCGATGTACTTTTCCAGAGGGTGAAAGAGGTGTAAAATGCAAATATGGCGCTAGAGATTTGTATGAAAACTTTAATGAATCGAGTAAAATGTGTTAGAGTGTTACGTGTGAGGTTGGAACGAGTGTAGAATGTAAAACCAAGACAGATGTGAAACCGAATTTTGATAAAGTAGTGTCTAACTGTGATCAGTCGATTGTTATTAACACAGATTGCACAAAGATAGTTGTTTCGTACAAATGACTGGTTTTAAAGTTTACTGTCTATTGTATACTGTCATTGTTGTATTTATCAATCTAGCGTGTAATAACTCATGATTCTGTAAATTTGTGGTACTGATTATATTGTGTGAAAATGCTGTCTTTGTGATGTATATTTGACCCGTATAAAAAGTATAATTATTTTCGGCTGGAAGACTATGTTGCTGCTGGTCGGGACCCTATGACAATGAACCTATCTAACGTGAGACATTTGTGAGGACATGCATGTAATGGATCGTGATAGAACAGATTTCAGTTGAATTAATTACCCTATATTAAAATCTCCACAAGCGCAGGTCAATTATATTATAGTGTTCTAATTATCATTAATGATAAGGTTAATTCAAAGAGCGTATTAAACTGGATAAGCACGGGAATAGAACTTATGGTGTGTTCTACACATGCGTATATCTAGGATAAAATCCCACAAGCGCAAACCAAACTATTTCTCTATAAAGTTTAGCTGAAAGGACTCACAGCGACCGTTTTTGGCAATGCTTCAGGCGCCCGATGATGATATATGAGGGGCCTTTAGCACTGTCATTTTGTCGTTTTGAGATGTTCACGTTATCGCGTGTACTTGTCAGGATGACGAAGGTGCATTATTGAGAATAATGTCATTCTGCACTGACGCACGCTGCATTATTTTTAATTCTGTGTGCACGCTACATTATTTTTAATAATGCTTTGTGCACACTGCATTATTTTTAATAATGCTGTGTGCACGCTGCATTATTTTTAATAATGCTGTGTGCACGCTGCATTATTTTTAATAATGCTGTGTGAACGCTGCATTATTTTTAATAATGCTGTGTGCTATTTTAGCCCGTATAAACATTTACCCCTGGTAATTTCCCTACTATCAAAAAAGACTGCTCCCGTTTTTCTGAAGAATCTGATCCTATTCATGGTATTCCATTGTATAGTGCAGAGTGAAAACAATAGGTTATTATGACCGTCAGTAATTATATACTTATACAGTAGTTAGAGTATCTCTACTTCTTGGTTATAACAGTATGTTAGAAATGTATAAATCTATCATAAGGCATGGCTATCAGTTGTATTCAAATCCTAAATTATTTTTATATTCCTTTTATTAAGATTGAGTGGATCAACGTCCTAAAGCATGTGACCAATGTCCACACCTGGTACAACGGTCAATGCTCACATGGTCCCCTAGATGATGTCGGCGAAAGGCAATGGATCCACAAAGATTCGGCTGCGATGCAAGCCCTCCATGATATTGTCCTTGACAAGAAATTTCTGACGACATTGCCATTCTACACTCGGTTTAGGTTAGAAAAATTATTTCGAAAAATTGGTTAGACAATTTATTAAAATGTGCTTGAATTACCTACACCACCCTCTTACACCCTTCTTCTGTTAAGGCCTGACTCCACGAGCGCTTTTTGTCAGCGAAATGCGAAATATTTCGCCTGTTTCTTTTGAATTGTGAGCAATCAAGTAGAAATAATTTATTTGAGTGGTCGCAATTCAAAAGAAAAGGGCGAAATATTTCGCTGACAAAAAGCGCTCGTGGAATCAGGGCTTTAGGGTACCCTGCAGTGTGAGAGAAAAATTTGTATTATATATATATATGTCAAGATTTTAGGCTGCCAACAATGATTTATATATATAACACTACAGTTTTTTTGACTTGGAATTAATGAATTGGCAGTACTCTACCACTCACAGGTAAAATTGTCTGGTGTTAGGAAGACTAAACACTCAAAGTTTTAATTGCAAAGTACATTTGAGATCAGTTGCGCTTGTTACTTTATTGAAAGTATGGCTGACAAACTGCTAAAACAACACGATAAAAGCCGAATAAAAAGCTTTCAATAGTTTCATTGTTTCAATACAATAGAAGGTAAACTAAGTAAATTATTCATTTTCCAGATTGTTTTACAGCCTGGAGACGCTTGCAAATGCTTGCAAAATGCTTTTTGGCAGACAACTACAAATTTTAGTTGCGAAAAACAATTTGTTCATTACAACATTTAATATAATAAACAATTTTGACCAAATTAAGCCCCTGGAGAAATCATCCTTAACTGCCATTTAAGGTATTTATTTAAATTTTATGTTTAAGGACAAGTTGTACTTTATAGTATTTATATTTATACGTATATTTTCAAAGAATAGCTGAATATATGTGGAGTATTTTAATCAAAACATGTAGCACTGACCAGTGGTGTTTCAATGTTTATATTTGTTTTCTCACATTTCGGTCAGAGAAAAAGTACATTTCGGGCTTGGCACTAAGTCCATTGAAGTAAATTCACTGTATTTTACTATCTTTAGTATTGATAGCGTAGATTGTTCAATTTTTGGGTAGTGTTTTGAGTTTGAAAATTGTCTTTGCTCCTCGGTTTGTCGCTAAAAATAATTCTTTTGGACCACGGTCAAGGTATCGTAAAAAACTGCCCGCTCCTGCAGCCAATCAGATTCCAGGAAATGCACAAATAAAAACTTAAAAACCCATAAAAATAGAACGTTATTTTAGACGTTATTTTAGATATATCAGTACTGTATATGTAGTCAGTAGAGTATGTGTCAAAATACAATTGTGAAACCGATATTTTGAGTTTATAACAATTTTAATCTTTCTTCGCTCACACATACCTTGGTATTAAAGTTGTTTTTTATTGTTATATAGTTATATATCGTAATATTTAATATAAAATTTGTATTAAAACAAATAAAGCAGACAATGATACACATGGAAATTTGAATAACAATGCACATATTGAGTGTTGAAGCATGATGGAAAGGCAGTTTAAACTTATTTCAATATTCATGATTTAACTATGGCAATAGGCAAGAAAAACACAAAAGCAATTCATATAAACTTTAAAATATAACCATATTTAATATGAATATAAAGCACTTTTACTAAATTGTCATTTTGGCATTGCAGTATTGCATTTTATTTTGTATTGAATTTGGTTTAAAAGGTTCTGAAAGCCCCACAGGCCAGGGCATTTGTCCATTTTAACTGTCTTCAATGGTGGGACATTAGCTCTGATTAGAAATGAAAATATCTAATCCCCGCCTAATGCCCGGGGTTGGGGGGCCGGGGGTTTACATTGACTCCAGTTTGCAGAATGTGTCACTAGCGCACCCGAGGGCAATTTCTTGTTGCAATTTTAGTGCACTTAGCCTAAATGTTCCTCGTGCCTTAGCTCCCAGGGTGCACTTGACATGTATAATGATGTAGGGTGTCTATACAAGTAAGCTATTACAGACCACATGACTTGAAATGAGCTAGGCGACTTCATTTCTGACTGGCTCTAATTTTTAATCTAATACACTTTTGAGTTGTTCTACTGTGATATGATTCGCACACATGGTTAAGTATCCAATGACAAAATAGAGAAAAAAACACACACAAAATGTCATGCTTACAAGTTAATAAGCACTATTACTATGTGAAATTATTTGAGAATTACACAGGACAAGAAAAAATGTGCCATCTTGTCTCTCAACTCAGTCCCTCCATGCTAGGAGACTTTGGGCATACAAACTCCAACAACGTGTTCTGTCTGCAAAAGAGAATTCCAGATCTGGCTCCATCCACTACACTCGCATTCACAGCGAAAAATCCCAGCATTCACCACCATCCTAAGCAACGTGATTCATCGGTCACCACCTGCAACACCTTACCTCGCACTCCCCCAGACATCCTCGGTCACCCTGTACTCAAGAACTCATAGCAGAATACAATGGTTTTGTCAGCAAGGTGAGGGTTTCTACAATGTCCCTAACCCTATTTTGGTATAGTTACTTTTACAGATTGAAAGCGTCTACTTAAATTTTGGTTTTGCGTTAGAAATTTGAGTACATGCCTGCTGTGTGTTTGCTGCTCAAGTATAATACAGTTTATTATATTCATTTTGAAATCATGCACAAATTTTTTAAGTGAACTTCCACCAGCAAAATCATTGATTGTCTTCATAAGGAATGACCAGAGCTAGATTGTATCATAACAGATTCATTGGAATGTCAGATTTCTGAAGATAATTCGCTGTTTGTGCATATTTGTGCATCACTGTTTGTGCATATTTGCCTTCCACCCATTAATACATGTACGACTAATGGGAATCTTTCTAATCTGTGCAATGCAACTGATGCAAATGCAGTTATCCCCCATATGATGCAATCAGCAATGAAATTCCACAATCAAATTTAGTTAATAACAGTACAATTATGGATGAAGATTCACACGTTTGCAATGCACTTTCTGACATTTTACCTCATGCAAACGCAGACAAATTGTCTGGTGCAGTCAGCCATGAAATGTTACCATTGTGTCACCAAAATGACATCATCATCATTCAGTTAATTACAGTAACATTATGGATGAGGGTTCAAATGTTTGCAACACATTTTCTGACATTTTACCTCATGCAAACACAGACAAATCGTCTGGTGCAATCAGCTATGAAATGTCACCATCAAATTCAGTTCATTCCAGTACAATTATGAATGAGGATTCAAATACTTGCAACCCATTCTCCAACATTTCACATGATGCAAACAAGGGCAACCTGTCTGATGCAACAGGTCATGAAATTCCACAATCAAATTCAGTTAAAAATCGTACTAGTTTCGATGACCTTTCAAATTCTTGCAACCCAACTTCATCTGTTAAAATAGGATGCTTAAAGGAGGATACATATGTGCCCTGAGTTGCATATGTTAAATACAAGAATGCATCCTGTTAAACAAATTCATAGAGCCAGTGAGGATGTGAACTCTTGCGTCCAGTTGGTATATTTGAAGAATGTACAGCGCCAGTTATCACAGTGACAGCAAAGTTACAGTCTCGCAACGAAAGCCGGTCTGTGTGGTAATATGACATCAATGTTCGTGTTCCAACACCTTTTAGACACCATCAAAAGCTTGTGTGAGAAAGTTGACTTGTATCAAGGTTATCCCAGACGTACACGGATCCTAGATGACTTTGTTCTGATTTCCTTGTACATTACGAGCATGTGTGGTCTTTCGAAAGAGATATGTACTTTGCAGTTATTTAACAAATGCATGGAAGGAAAGGAATTTAATTTTGATTGGAAAACAAAGTATCTGTAGTATCTGCTGATGAGGGCCAATTCACATTGTACTTAAATAATTTCAAGAATCTTCGAAGTCATGGGCCCTCAAAATTTGAAATAGATGATTCAATGTGGCTTATCCCCTATGTGAAAGAATACATTAGAAAAAGGACAGATCTTCTTTGTAGCAAATCTCATCCTTTCATGTTTATGACAGTGACTGGTTTGGAATTCACATCATCATCTTTTACATTATACTAGAAATACATGCATGCACCCCTCGCCAATATTCCATACATTAAACATGAAGTATTCAGAAATGACCAGCACTGAACGCAGGCTCGCGCTCAAGTGTTGCCATGACAACACGATATTCTAAAATTTTTATTTTCATATATTTTGTACAAAACTGCAAAATAGTTGACAGATTCGTACTTTTAACTATACAACAATAAATTTCCGAAATACATACTGTAGGTATATTATTTTGCATTTTGTGAGCTTTGATTTAATGTAAAATTTAACTTGAAATGCTTCATAAAATGTTTTGAAATGTTCATTCAAGTAAACGTACATTTTGCCGATAAACTGTTTTTACTTAACAAAACATGATAAGTTTAATACAAATAAAATAAAATTGTTAGGTAATTTCAGTTCAGTTTTCAAATCAATTTCTTCGCCTTTACATTTTAAGATTTTTTCTCAAATTAAATGGTAATTTATGAAACTTAGAGCTTCTATAGTTCATGTTTTTTATTTAATACGTAAAAAGTTAAAGCAACAAAATTCGTAAACATTTTAAAAATATTCAAAGCAAACTTGCCGTATATTTCTCGATTTCCCATAGTAAACCAATTCTCATTTCTTCAAACAAAATTGTTTCAAGCTTGTTGTATATGAAATGTTTTTGCAAATATATGTCTTTTAAAATTGAAATCTTGCTTGCCATATTTTTGAGATAAGTGAGGATGACCACCCACTCAAGATTGTCGTTCGTTGGTCAGCGCCCGCGATGATTGATGAACTTTAGACTTTGCTAATGCTTTCGTTTCTACAGGTGTAAATAGCCGGGGGGAATTAGTACCCTCGCACGGCGCTTCGCGCTGCCGGCTTGGGGACTAAGGCATCCTTTTGAGAGAGAAGTGCACATTTGCGCAGTTACGACAACACTTTTTAAGTCTCGATTTGGTTAACAAAAGTGTAGCAGAAGCCACACGTCAATACTTAATACTTATTTTGACTAATGTTTACCCCAAAAGCAGATGTTGCTTATCTAGGGGGCAGTGGCGTAGCCAAGGGGGGGCGGTCGCCCCCCCAATAGTCTCCAAAACCGCTCTTGTGAAAAGTTCAAATCCGGGGAGATATTGGGGGGGGGGGATGAGGTAAGCTACGAGTCAAATCCAAGTAAAAACTTCCAAACAGCGCATAATTATCTGATCATTTGCGTGATCTTCGTAGACGGAAATTTGAAGTAGGTGCATCCGGCTTATTGCATCGAATTTCAGAAATATTCAAAACGCGTTGCAATGCTTGCGTGTTTGCGTCATAAACGGTATTATTTTATATGTGTTTGTATCATGTTACATGAGTCTAGGACCTTGCCGGCCTAGAGATCATATCTTTCCTGTGGATAAGCGTAATCGTAAGTTTCTAGTGTCGTGGTACGAAAAATTCGATTGGCTCGAGTATT